GCACTTGCGCTGGAGTCTTCCCGACAAAGGCAGCGCCGCCAAGCCGCATCGCATTCGCGCGGCCCTCGCCGCTCCTTGACGACTTCGGAGCGGCCGCCCAGCTTGTGTCCTCGTGGCAACCGCAGCCCATTGATTTTCAATCGAAAGGCGCTCGCAGATTGCACGCAGGCGGATGTTGATTGCTTCGCAATCTTTTGCGCGCGCAGCTCAGAAACTCTCCGTCGAAGAGGCGCGGGGGCAGACGTGGGAACTGCGTGAGAATAAGTTTCTAGAAAAAGTATGCCGACCTGGATGAGAAAGTGAGGCATGGGCGCGGGAGAGCATGAGGGGATGGAGAAAGGATCGCTCTAGAGGCTCCATACAACGTTTGCGCGAGGGTTTGATTTGCGCCGATTTCCGCAGTGGGCCCCCTGACTGACCGCGAGGTGGCAGATCGTCTTGCATTATCTCGTTGCTTGTTGCCGCTCCAGGAAACGGCCCTCGGTGACCGCCTCGAACTGTTCCCCGTCTAAATAAACTGAGAGGGAGTCCCGCGCGAGAACGCGATTCCGGCATAAATCGTGAAAAAATCCAGCATGAGAGCGCTCAGTGGGAATACATTGTGAGAAGGCGGGGAAGGGGGAGAAGGTTCAAGCAGTGGTGGGATGGATGGCAAAATAAAGAAACAGTCGCGACGAGGGTTCAGAACGCATGATTGCGCATATATGGCAATAGTGAGCAAGCGCATAATATTTACATTAAGTATGTGAGGTCCTTTCCGATGAGGAAGAAATCTTTAGGCGTTGACAATTTCGGAACTCTTGGGGGGATCCTTGGGCGGTTCCGAGAGCGCTCGGCCGTCGTGTGGCCATGTTGGGGGTTCTTGGAATTATATCGAAACCATCTTTGGCTATCTTGAGCCATGTTGGAGGCCATCTTGGGGCGCCGGATGCACTCTTGGAGCCGTCTTGGGCGAGAGGGACATCCCGACGCTTCCGTCCACTTCTCAACCAAACATGCCGCGGAAGAGGAGGAGGAGGAGGACGAGGAGGAGGAGGAGGAGGAGGAGGAGGAGGAGGAGGAAGAGGAGGAGGAGGAGGAGGAGGAGGAGGAGGAGGAGGAAGAGGAAGGGCCCCCACTCCCCGGGGATGGATGAAAACCACTTATGGGAACGCCTTCCCCTGCTCATCGTGCCCGTGCCCTCCGAGATGCTGGCGGCGAGACGTCGGTATCGTCCTGGATCCTTCGTTTGGAGATGAAGGCTGGATCGCTGGGTTTTCCTGGATAGTAGTTTTCTTGGCTTCCTGATATTGGAACCCCAGCGATGGTTCTGGCCAGCAGGAAAGGCGGGCAGGTTCGAGGCGCTGGGTTCGGAAAGACTTCGGTCTTTTTCGGCCTCCAGTGGCCGTTTTCGGGCCTTGGGGTCGTCAGAAACGCATCCTGGGTGTGTCCACGGATATCGGATTTGGCTTCATCCCCCCTCCCAGCCGATTTTCTGGGTCCCCAGCGAGTTCAGACTTCCCGGCCTCTTCAAATCTTTGGCTTGTCCTGGATACTAGCTTTCTTGGACTTCTGATCGCTGACCTCCTGGAGCTTGCTGCCGAGAGCGACCATGAGCTGACTCAGTCCTCGCACGTTCGAGTGCAAGGTCTGGCCGATAGCCTTTAAGGCCCTTGTTGGTGCTTTGGAAGAGCTGGAGTTCCGGCTTCATATCCTGTTTCTCGCGTTCTAGTTCCTGGACCTTCCCGCGCTTCTTGAAGGAGCTGCCTATGTCCACCAGCTGGTGGAAAGTCTTGGGGGTGATGACTCGATGGTGGCCTTGAGTCCATTCATCTAGTATTTGTCTCTCTCTCTCTCTCTCTCGAGTACTTGCACCTTCTCTTTTTGGTTGCCGTTCAGCACCTTGGTATCATAACCTTCGCCGAAGGTAATATCTGAAGCATTCGTCTCAGGCTTCGGCCCCTCATGCTGGGAAGTTTTATCCGTGGAGACGGTCTGTTGCGGATCTTGCTGTAATAACTTCTCCGTGCCGCTGAACTCCATGCTGGCGTCGGTGCTGCTAGCCACGAGAAGCTGCGAGTGGCGCTCTAAAGCCCCATGTCCAGGTGACAGCCACTGTCGCAAACTCGGGAAAGTTTGACCAGCCGTTCTGCTAGGCGCTGGCTCTCTTCACCCTGCTGCGCGAGCAGATTCGTAGCAATCTGGACCGACGGCTTGATGGGGAGGCCAGATGCTGCTTTCACCACGCTGAGCGCTTCCCCCAAAGGTTCGGAGGTGAAGGACACATTGCCATTTGCCACGTCTGGCGCCTTGGCAGCCCCGAACCGCCGCGGACACAAGGCTGCACGTCAACCTAGTCGACAGCTTTATGTCCAGCAATGCAAAACACTGCGCCAGCAGCCGCTTGGGCCGCCGCCGGCAAGGCACCCACATTGGTTCAGTCTGAAGGGGAAGCCATCCCTCCCCAGCACACCCGGGCGCGCCTCGCCGCGGCCGCCTCAGGGTTCACTGGCTTCAGCCAGAATGGCTACAGGAGGACGGACGAAACAGAGGAGGAGGGAGGAGGGAGGATGGAGCAGGAGGAGGAGGGAGGAGGGAGGAGGGAAGAGGGATGAGAAGGAGGAGAGGGATGAGCGAGAGGAGAGGGATGAGCGGTGGGGGATGAGGGAGCAGGGATGAGGGAGGAGGAGCGGGGAGGACAGGGAGGAGGAGGGAGGAGGGAGGAGGGAGCAGGGAGGAGGGAGGAGGGAGGGAGACAGGGAGGGAGGGAGGGAGGGAGGAGGAGGGAGGAGGAGCAGGAGCAGGAGGGCGAGGACGGCGAGTAAAAGCGCCCCGCCCCCCCGCCCCGTGCCCCCGCGCCGCCGGCCGAGGTGGTGGCCGAGCCCGCCCAGCCGCTGCGCAGCAGGGACTTCCCGACCCTCGGGGAGCAGCCGCCGCCGGACCCGCCGCGCGCCAGGCCGCCGCCGTCGCGCCGCGGGCTCCGCGGCCGTGCCCGCGGCAGCGCCCCGCCGAGCCGCGCGCCAGCACGAGGCAGGAAGGCGCGGCGGTGCGAGGCTCGAGGTGCGAGGCTGCCGGGCGGCGTCCCCGTTGGGTTTCCGGAGGGTTTTTCCAGCGTCGAGGCGCTTTCCAGCAGCGGCCGTGCCCGCGGCGGCGCCCCGCCAAGCCGCTCTCTGCGCCGCCGCGCCACGCTGCGCTTCTTGGGGGCCGCGGCTTCCCAGAGATCTGGGAGTTGCCACGTTTTCACGCCAGGCGCCTTCGCCTGGCTTCGGGCCCCAGGACTATCACAGATCGATCCGTCCGGAAGAATGGCGCAGAAAGATGGGGTCCAGGGCACTGGTCGTGTTTTTTTCACGATGTTGCAGCTTTTCCTAATGTCGGATCTCAGGGTTTCGCCTCGCTGGGGGCCCTCCGCGCCATCGTCTCCTCCGCGGCCCGCCCGGGGGGTTCGGCCCGGCCGTGTCCACCTTGTGCATGCTGGACACGCGGCTCTGGAGTCACATCGCTGGCGGAGGAACAAACGTGTTGTGCATGGTGCTCTGTCTTCTAGCGTGGCCCCCGCCGCCACCTGCTCAACATCGCCACGCGCCCGGTGCACGCGCTCGTTTGGGCGAGGCTGGGCGTGGGATGCTTCGAAGGCAGATGGTTCGAAAGCCCTGTTCTACTCACCAGGGTGGGCAGGGAATCTGGAACTCCCCCGACAGGTGATGCCTTGATTTTTACAATACGGGGTCCACAGAAGTCCCGACCCTTTCTCCAGGGCCAGTATTTCATCGCGAGGCGCTTTTAGACGGTCCTGGGGCTGGGTGGGGGCACCCCCAGAGGGCGAAAATGGCCAAAACCTTCCGTCGTAAAACAAAACAACGGGCGTGACCATGCCTGCGTCCCCCCAGATCCGATCCGATCGATCCGATTCGATGCCGATTCTGGCCGTCATGACTCCATTCGGTTCCGACTTTCCGACGATGCGATGCCGCCCAATGCTTGCGTGGCGAAGTTGTGCATCCTGGCGCGGGCGATTCGACTCGATTTCAACTCCGTGCCGGTGCAGCCCGATAGGACACGAATTTTCGATTCGATCCGATTTCCCGATTCGATGTAGACATGGTCCTGGCAGGACGACGGGCCCGACGGGCCCGAGGAGGGGGATGACGATGACGACGACGAGGAGAGGGGAGGAGGAGGAGGAGGAGGAGGAGGAGGAGGAGGAGGAGGAGGAGGAGGGAGGAGGAGGAGGAGGAGCAGGAGCCCCCCTCCCCGTGGCAGGACGAGCCCGAGGATCCCCCGGCCGCGGCGCGGCGCTCCGAGCGCGGCGCCGGGCGGCCGGGGCGCGGTGCCTCGTGGGCCGACCAGGAGGCCGCTGAGGAGCGGCCCCGCCGTGCGCGCGCGGGGGGCGCGCCGTCGAGCTGTCGACGACGGCGACGACGACGGCGACGGCGACGGCGACGTCGACGGCGAATACGACGACGACGGCGACCGCGACGGCGACGGCGACGGCGGTGGCGTGCGCGCGCGGGGGCGGGCCGTGCCGGTTTCGACCCCGCGCGCGGGCGGCCGCGGAGTCGCAGAGGAGGGGCAGAGGTTTGGGGCCTTCGTGGCCAGCCTGCGTCAAAGCGTGCAGTCTTGAGGCGCCTAACCGTGTCAGCAAAGCGTCTTGTACGCTGGGTCGTTCGCCAATGCTGTCAGTGTCAACGCATTTTGCTGGACTGGTGCGCGAATGATCATTGCTGAAGCAGTGTTTGGGATCTCACCGAAGCCGTTGAGAGTGCACAGAGGCACGTCGACTGTTGTAATGCAAATTGCAAGGTGGCTGGGCGCAAACTTCACATGATCCGTTCAACGACTGTTGTAATGCAAATTGCAAGGTGGCTGGGCGCAAACTTCACATGATCCGTTCAACACTGTTTGTTTGTCAGTTTGTTGTGTTTAAGCAGTGGGGATTAGGCTTCGCTTCAAAGACTGGACGCAGATTTAAAGTCAACGTCAGCTTTGGAGGTTTTGTGGTGTTTTTCGTTGAATATCCATTTCCAGTCTCATGTTAACCAAGGTGCAAGTGGTGCTCTGATGCGCATGTGTGAGTTGATGCAGTACACACGCCGATTGATTTAAGAAAATGCGGCATCTTTCTAGGTGGCGTATGCAGTTTCAGTGCTGTGGCGCGCACTTCGTGGACTCACATGTTGACGCCTTGCGGATTCCCATGGCTCGCCCGAGTTAGGCTGTCCACGAGATTTAACCTCGATCGTCAATGTTTCCCACCGTTAGGATCGAACGTGCAGACTCTGTCCGAAGGGTGGCTAGGTAGCCTCAATCATTTGATGGCCGTCAGGTCTTTTACGAATGCTCCAGTTCGGTGCAAGCTCTGGGTCGCGCTCGGAGATCGGCCAGTCTAGCTAGCTTCAAGCTTTGAGGAAGTCTGCCTTTGAACAGTTGGATCATGACCCACCTGGTTTGCAACCCAATCTCAAGGTAAAACTGCCGAATACTCATTTGGGGTGTCCCATATACATGTCATGTGAGGACATCGCTTGACATGTGTCCTGGCTCAGGGTCGACCCATTTCGTTGTCACGGCTACGTTTATATTTTGCTTCGTCTCTCTTCCATCCTCCTCCTCATCACCCTTAGCTCTCATCCTTCTCCTCCTTCCCCTCCCCCTTCCTCCCTCCTGAAACTGCTCCTTCTTCTCCTCTCACTGCTTTTCCTTCTCGACATACTCCTCCTACTCTTCTTCTTACTCCATCTTCCCTCCCTTCCCTTCTGTGTGTGTGTGTGACGCGCGTTCGCTGCTTTACGACCTTCTCCGCCCTGTCGCCGCTCGCAGGGCCGCAACGCCGAAACAAGTGTGTGTGTGTATGTGTGTGTGTGTGTGTGTGTGTGTGTGGCGGTCTGGAGGCCCTGGTGGCCTTTGTTGGGGCTGTCGTCGGCTTTTCGGAGCCCTCCCACTTGAGCCGTTTTGGGCCGCCGCTGAGCGCTTCTTAGGGCCCTCTTGGGCACTTGTGGGCCATTTTGGGGCGAGCTTGGGGGGGCCTCTTGGGCCGCCGTGGAGGCCCTGAAGACCGAGACGGGGAGTGTCCCGAAGTCGTACGCAAACGGATGGATCATGAATGACTTCTGTCTTTTCGGTGCCTCTTATGGGGTTCTCTTCGGGCCCCGTGGGGCCGTGGAGGAAACCCGTTGCCCTTTCTTGTGGCCATATTGGGTCTTTGCCTTGTTTCGGTCGTCTCGGGGTCTCTTGGGGGCATCTCGGGGCCTTCCCGAGCCGGCCCTGGGCGCCCGCGACTTCGCCTGATCAATCGGGACTTGAGTTTCGTCGTATCAGGCTTCCATGACTGCCGTAACTGGTTGTATCAGCACAGCTATATAGGTGTACATACGTACATATGTGTAGATAAGCTCTATGTGTGCACATATGCAGCCTTGCCCTCCTTTCGAGGACGTGGCGAGGCCCCCTCGTGGCCTAGGGGGCCCTCGGTGGTCTCGGCGTTTCCGCGGGCCGTGCGGCCGCGGCCCCGGGGGGCATGGGCCTGCGGTGGGCTGTGGCCCACGGCGGTCCCTGCTGGCGGGACCGACGCAGCACCCTGGTGTGGGAAAAGGAACAACGGGCAGCATGGGTACCTTTCGTCGCATATGTGTGTATATATGTGTGTACATATTTGCATACATACATACATACATCCCTACCTACCTACCTACCTACATACATACATACATATACATACATACATACATACATACATACATACATGCATGTATGCATGCATGCATGCATACACATACATACATACATACATACATACATACATACATACATACATTCATGCATAACACACATGCGTACATATATACAAACATCCATATATCCACACACATTTACATATACATACAGAGTCAGGCATACGTACAGACAGACAGACAACCATACATACATAGCAAACATCCACTATCTACCTACACACATACACACGTACATATACACATGTACACACATACACACATCTACGCATATGTCTAAATGTATATTTATATATATACACGCCACATATCTGTATCCGTATAGAGGGTGGTAGCACAGTGAGTCTCGCCGAGGAGTCCGGCCGGCTCGCCTTGGGCCCGTCCGCCGAGGGAGACGAGGAGGGCAAAGGCGGGCGCAAGGGCCGCAAGGGCAAGGACCAGGAGGACAAGGTGCTCGAAGTCGTCGCAGTCGCCGTCGCCGTCGTCGTCGTCGTCGTCGTCGTCGTTGTCGTCGTTTTCGTCGTCGGCGCTCGCTCCGTCTCCTCCGTTCCTTCCTACTCCATCTCCATCTGTTCCTCCTCCTCCTTCTCCTCCTGCTCCTCCGTTGCCTCTTCGAGGTTCAATGTTCAGAATGGTGCCGCAGGGTCTTCGACCCAGGCCCTGCGCAGAATGAGTTCTCAGAGGGTCGCACCGAGCCGAGCCCCAGGGAGAAAGGTCTTCAAACTTACCCAGGCCCGCAGTTCTGGCGTTGGTCCTGGCTGCGCCATGTCCGTGTCGCCCTATGCCTGCGCGGACACCTCGCCATTAGATGGCACCAAACTGTTTTGTGTACAAGGAAAAGTCTTGAGGCTCCCTCCTCTTCCGCTTCCTTCGTCTCCTCCTACTGCTCATGTCGTGTCCCTGGGCTTGGTTTTCCGCCTGAGACGTCCTCACCACTATGAACTTGAAGCTTGAACATTGGCAGCATTTTCAGGGATGGAAGGCGGGCCGTTTTTTTTCAAAATGGAGCCCTCGTTTTAACGCCGCGCGCATTCATTTTGAAGCTTTTGAACCAGTTTCAAGGATGGAGCTCTCGCGTGAGCCCCGTGCGCACTCGCCTGAAAAAATGCAGCAGTTTTGAGGGGAGTTTTTTTTTTTGTTTCCCCCCCTTCAAAAATGGGTAGCTCTCGCCTTAGCGCCGTGCGGATTTGTCTAAAAGTCTGCAACTGGTTCAAGGATGTATGTCGGCTCCTTTTCACACATGTGGCTCTCGCTTCAGTGCCGTGCGTCGTCAAAACGTGCAGCACTTCCAGGGACTACGTCCCAGGAATGGTGTCCTGGCGACATTTAGGATTTTTTTTTTCCTCCTCGGGCCATACGCACGCGGCTCTGGCCCTCTGAAAGCGTACTGGGCATAACGCCCACAGACTAAGCAGAACACAACAGGCGTGGCAAAGTGCGCAATCGCCATCTGATGGCTGGCGTGAATGGCTTCTAGGCCACGTCGGTATGCGCTGGCAAGAGGTTGGCAGGCCTGCCTCTCGCGCGCGACTGCGGCCTTATACGATCGGGCGTACGTAAAACATGCTCTGCACCTGTACGGTATCGGCCCCTGCAGAACCTCCCAGTCGTGGACGACGATGGAGGCCTGAACCTTACAGGGCAAAGCGGCTCTCTCGCTCTTGTGCCTGTTGCGCTGACACAAAGCGAGAGCTCTGGGCGCATATAAGGCAATCGCTCGAGCGGCCTCGACCTTGCGCTGCAAATCCTGCACCGCGGTCGGGTCAAAGCTGGGGTGACAGTCGACGGCGGCTTTCGCCGTCTTATCTGCTGCTGCATTGATCTCCGCCGCAAGTCTGGCCTCTCCAGCCAATGATTCTATATCCTGATGGCTCTTAACCTTAGAGGCCGTCTCGAGGTGATATCTGCTATCCCGCGCAAGCGCAAGCTTGTGCAGGCCTGAATACTTGAGCTTACTACTGAGACGCGTCGGCAGTGGCCTAGCATGCTGATCTAGGACCGCTTTGCAGTCCACCCAAGTCTTCGAGGGTTTCGTGAGGACCGGACGCAACCGTCACGTGTATTTGCGGCGTTGAAGTTCCAGGAATGGCGTTCTGGCACGTTCCAGTTTTGTCAGAACGCATCGGTCGCGTTGGCCCGCGGCGTTGGAATCCCAGGAATGGTGTTATGACGCGATCCAAGATTTTCGAGTACTTGGAAAATCGGGTGGTGCCCGAATCCGATCAATCTATAATATGAAACATTGTTTGATGGGCTTCCTGGTCCTGGCGAGACATCTCCCTGTTTGGAGTCTGGCGATGGTGTTGGGATCCATTTTTTGATCGCACGTTGTCTTTCAATGGGCCGCTTCTTCTCGTATGAATATGCGGCAATGGAAGTTCAAGGGCAAGTTTATTCCAACTCGTTGGCGCGTCTTGGGTTTGCACTTGTCCTTCTTATCCTCCCCCTCCTCCTCCTCCTCCTCCTCCTCCTTCCCGTTCTCCTCCTGCTGCTGCTCCCTCTCCTCCTCATCCCCTCCTCGTCGTTGCCCTCTTCTTCCCGTCCCCCTCTTCTCCCATTTCGCTGCCGCCGCGCTCGAGGACGACTTCTTGTCGGAGCTCTTGGGGCGCTCCTGGGGGCTCTCGTCGCCACGGCCAGAGGCAGCTCGAACGCGTGGCCTGCATTGACCGCGAGATGGGTCGGAGGCCTGATTTTGAGCGGGTTTTGGTACGACGTCGTCTTCGTCGTTTCGTCGTTTCGTCGTTTCGTCGTCGTCGTCGCCGTCGTCGTCGTCGCCGTCGCCGTCGTCGTCGTCGTCGCCGTCGCCGTCGTCGTCGTCGTCGTCGTCGTCGTCGTCGTCGTCGTCGTCGTCGTCGTGCTCGTCTTCATCCTCGCCTTCCACCTCGCCTTCCTTCCTCCCTCCTCCTTCCTCCCTCCCTCCCTCCCTTCCTCCTCCTCCTCTTCCTCCTCCTCCTCCTCTTCCTCCTCCTCTGCTCAACGCCATCGACTGGGACGCGAAGCGCCTGGAGCTGATGACATTGCCCGCTTCTTGGACGTGGCCAATTCTCCGGTCGTGGTCTAATGCCTGGGTGACGTCGTGGCGGGTGTTGGGAGACCGTGGCCGTCGGCCTTGCATCTTTGGCTACTGTGCCGACAAGGATCGCCTCAAACATTGCGTTGCCTGCAGAATTCTTTGGCGAGCGGTTCGACGCGCGGTGGATGCCCCAGACGAGGCTCCTGCTCATCGTCTCGATCGGTTGGGCTTCGGTACTCATCGAAGTATATCGAAATACGAATGCGTGGTGGTGGCTTACCAGCTGTGCCACACAGCTCGCCTTCTAGACGTGGACGTTGTGCCTTGCCGGTCGAGGCGGCCTTCTCGAAGGCGAAGGCGGCGGTGAGGAGCCTGCGCCTTGCCCGTTCGGCGCCCGCTTAGGCGTCGGTCCGCGGCCCGCGGCGGCGGCGGAGTGGATGCTGCTCGCAAGCCACGGGGTGCTACTCCTCCACCTCTTTCTCCGACGCATGCTGCGGCTCCTCGTCTTTCTATCGTCGTCGTCGTCGCCCTCCTGCTCCTCCTCCTCCTCCTCCTCCTCCTCCTCCTGGTCCTCCTCCTCCTGGTCCTCCTCCTCCTTTCCTCCTCCTCCTCCTCCTCCTCCTCCTCCTCCTCCTCCTCCTCCCTCTGCATCCTCTTCCTCATCGGCTCATCCTTTTCTTCCTCACCTATTCCTTCTCCTTGCTTCCCTGTCCCCGTTTTCCTGCCGTCCTCCTTTCCTCCTCGTCCTCCTTTTGTCCTCCTTCTCTTCGTCTTCGTCCTCGTCCTCCTGCTGCTGCTGCTGCTCCTCCTCCTCCTCACCCTCCCCCGCGTACTCATGCTAGCCTCGGTTCCCTCCCCTCCACCTCGCGAAGCTGCGCGGCACCCTCGGCAGGGCAGAGACCGCGGAAGCAAGGACGCGAAGGATGGCAAGGACAGGGGAGCAAAGGGCAAGGCCGCCCCCCCCGTTCACTGCGCATCCGGGGCGACTGTGCCCCCTTGGCCTCTTCCTTCCCAGAGCGAGGAGACGGGTAATGATGAGGCTCAGACGGTGGTACTGGTGGTGGTCGTAGGGAGGATGGATGGATGTATGGACGGATGGGTGCATGGATGAAGGTGATGGTAATGGTGATGATGCTGCTGCTGATGACGACGATGTGACGAGATATATGCAGATGTTGCTGTCCATGATGTTGGTGATGGCGGGGGCAGGGATGATGCATATTCTGTTATGAGCATGGTGGTGATAATGACGACGATGACGGCAATGTTGATGAGAGGAGGAGGAGGAGGAGGAGGAGGAGGAGGAGGAGGAGGAGGAGGAGGAGGAGGAGGAGGAGGAGGGAGGAGGAGGAGGAGGAGGAGGAGGAGGAGGAGGAGGAGGAGGAGGAGGAGGGAGGAGCAGGAGGAGGAGGAGGAGGAGGAGGAGGAGCAGGAGGAGAGGAGGAGGAGGAGGAGGAGGAGGAGGATGAGGAACGGAAGAAGCAGGAAGAGGAGGAGGAGGAGGAGGAGGAGGAGGAGGAGGAGGAGGAGGAGGAGGAGGAGGAGGAGGAAGACGATGAGGAGGAGGAGGAGGGGAGAGGGGAGGCAGGGGAAGGGGGGCGGAGGGGGAAAGGATTGAGGAGGAGGGGATGAAAGGGGAGGACGGGGAGGATGGGAGGAGGGAGGAGGGAGGGGAGGGGGCGAGGAGGAGGAGGAGGAGGAGGAGCGGGTGAAGATCCATCCCCGATCGATCTGCGCCTTACCTTTCTCTCTTCAGCCCCCTTCCACAGTTCTTTGGCATACGCAGTGCTTTCATCTCCGTCCGGAAGGTGGCGGGGAGTAGCCCGCCCCCTCTGCGTATTGATGTTCTGCAAGATTTCAAACGTTCGTCTTCCCGATTGTTTTTTTCTATCGGAATGCTTTCGGTGTCTCCAAATGGTGCTGGCATGCAGCGATGGCTTCATTTCAGCATCGGCTCTTGGCTTCCGTCGTTCAGAATGGCGCTCTCGCCCCAGCGTGGGCCTTTTTTCTCCGAGTCCTTTCTACTCGTTGCTTCCCCCCTACTTTCCCCTCCTCCGCCTTCCCCTGGTCCTTCTGCGCCACCCGCTCCTTCCACTCCAGTTCCCGCTGCTGCTGTTCGTCCTTGTCCTCCTTCTCCTCCTCCTCCTCCTCCTCATTGTTGTCCTTCTCATCCTCTTGCTCACTCGCCACCCTCTGCTGCTGCTTCTCCTGCTCCTCCTCCTCCTCCTCCTCCTCCTGTGTGCGCAATTCTGCGTGTCCTCTTCCACATTCCACGATGGGGTCTTTTTCGGAGTACCAGGTCCGCTATTGCACGCGTCTGCGGACAGAGAACATATCGTCGCAACGGGAAGCGATGCGTGGGAGGGGTCGGATGTCAGATGTGGCGCGCGCTCTCCTGGCTTGCCTCTACCCTTTCTTCATTTTCCCCTTCTTCCCCCCTGTCGTTCCTTTCCCCCCTCGGAAGTGGATCGGGTTCGGCTGCCGGGCGGGCCTCCCCTCCCGCCCCTTTCCCCCTCCAGCTCCTCTGACTGAGGCTTGCGGCCACTGGGCCATCTCCCGTGCGACTCTCCTGTCGCTCTGCATTTTGCCCATTTGGCCCCCTCTTCCGAGGGGTGATCCAGGCAGGCCCGTCGCGGAGGTCCAGCCAGGAACCTGCAAGGTGGAACGCAGGCGCTGCGCTGCCTCAGAGCCTGCAGCCCCTCCAGATCCAGAGCCCGGTCTTTGGAGACCAGAGTTAAGTCGGGCGTGTCCCTCTACAGGCGGAACTTTCAACAATAGTCAAAGAATCGTATGGGGGCGAGTTCTGGAGTATTTTTGAGAATCTTTGGATTATTGTTGAATTCTTTTTCTTCGTCCGAAACCTTTCTGTGGGAGGACACGCCCGACCTAAAACCAGAGTGGAGCTGAGAGCCTCCCCCTCCTGGTCACACCCCTCCCTCATCCAGGTCATCTTCCTCCAGAGTTTGCCAGGTCCTTCCCATGGTCAGCCCCACTTTCCATATGCGTAGCTTCTCCCTGTTTCACCACCATCTGTGCCCGTAGGCAGGGTTGGCCGTTTCGCTGGAGACTTCTCTGCAGTTGACTGCCCTGAAGGTACAACTTTTAACAGCTGCAATGCTGGAGAGCGGGTGGTTTTCAACATGCGGCTCTCGCCCTGGCGCTGCTAGTATTCGCTGCAAGTGTGTAACAGCTTCGAGGGTGGAGGACGGTCCGTTTTCGGAGTTCGTCTCTCGCCTTAGCGCCGCGCACATTTGTCCCAGAAGCTGGCGGCAGTTTCAAATATGGAGTTTGGTCCGTTTTCAACATGTGGCTCTCGCCCTAGCGCCGCGCACGTTCGTCTTGACGGTATGCATCAGTTACAGTGGTGGAGGGCGGTTCCCTACAGACATGGTTTTCTCGCCATAGCGGCGCGCGCGTCTGTCAGAACCTGTTGCAGGCATCTGCAAAGACGGAGGACGGCTCACTCTCCCAACTGGGCTCTCGCCTTCGACGTCCCCAGGTGTAATGATACCACGAGCTGGAGCATACGAGCAGCTGCACGGATGGAGTTATTTTTTCTTTTGAAAATGGGTCTCTCGCTTGAGACGCTCCCAAATTCCTGGACTCAGCGTTGAATTTCATGAAAACGGTAGACAGGTGCGGGGCTGTTCCTGCTCGAAGCGGGGCTCTCGCCTGACACCCTCGTTCACTATTACGATCCCACCTTGTCGCGTTTGTTATCTTGCACCAGCATGATGCGAGGCAGACCATTTTCAAGATGGGGGCCCTCTCCTTAGTGTCAGGCTCATCGGGTGCTCGTTTTTCAAGGTGACGCTTCTTGTGATGAAAAAGAAAATCTGTAGGAACTTCTGAGGAGGGGACTTTGGACGTGAGGGTGTATCCCAATCAGCATTTGGCCACGCTCATCCGCATGGTCGCCGTCATACTCCTTACTTCCTGCTCGTCCCCACCTTCATCCCCGTCACGATCATCATTATCAGCATCATATTTCCATTCCGTCCTGCTCCTCATCCTCGTCGTGCTCATTATCTGGATCATCATCCATACGGGCGGTCTCCACCTAGGCGGCCCAGAGACAATTTTGTCAATCTGCAACCAAAATTCGACAACCCCGACATTGGATTCCAGAATTTGGTTTTCGACGGATTGCATTCGGAATCTGATTCCATGATCTGGAATCTGGGATTCGATGGTCCCATCCGGAATGCGAACTCCCTCAAATGAGTACATAATTCCGACTTCTGGGTTCAAGGGTCCAATTCGCTATCTGAGCCCAGATTCCGAATCTGGAATCCAGAGTTGTGGATTCGAAAGTCTAGTCTGGAATCTGAATCGGGAGCGCGGGATCAACGATTTTAGACTCGATAGTCCAATCGATCGAAAAGTTGACGCCAGCACTTGCTATTCAGGGTCACGGGTGCTGGATTCGAGGGTCCAATCGGAAATCTAGAATCTCTGGAATCTGGAGTCGGGAATTGTGTATCGCAGGGTCCAGCCGGGAATCTTGAATCGGGAGCGCGGAATTCCTGATTCTTGATTGTATGTTCTTGATTTTGGATTTGATTTCTTGATCTTGATCTTTCAGAGCGCCACTGCTTGTTCCCTCCTTTTTTTCAAGAGGCGTGCGCCATTTCGCCGACCCCGCAAGAAGAGGGATGACGTCCACGAGCGATGCCTTTTGGGGCCTCCTGGGGACCCTCTGGGCCTCCATCGGGCCTCTTGGGGGCCTCTCCGGGCCTCTCGGAGTTTCTTGGGCGCCTGCTGGCGGCCTCGGGGGTCCTCTTGTGGCGGAGGGCCAGGAATGTCAGTTCGAGTCGCCTCTCTTGGGCTCCTCCTGGGGCCTTCTTGAGGCTCTCATCTTGGGCGCCCTTGGGCCGTCTCGGGACCCTCTTCGGCCGGCCCTCTTGGGGGCGGTCTGGAGGCCATCTTGGTAGTCTTTGAGGACTCCTCGGCGTGCTGGGGCCCAGCTTGAGCGAGCTTCAGTGGCATCTTGGGCATCCTGGAGGCCACGGACTGTAGATCTGGAGGCTCCAGAGGCCCTGGGGATGCGTTCAGGTGCTCGTGCCCCCCCCCCCCCCCGCCTGTCTCCTCTAATCGGATTTCAGACCCCAGGGGAGGGGGAAAGGGGGAGGCTGGACAGCCAATCATCTCACACGCCTCTGCACCCCAGGCGAGCGGGGGTCGGCGGATCCCCATCTCCCCTCCTTCACACTGTTTCTCTTTCGCTTTCTCTCTCTGTCTCTGTCTCCTGCCTCCTGTCTCTCTCTCTCTCTGTCTCCACCTTTCTGTTTGCCCCTTCATTCCACCTCTCCTTTCCCATCTCTCTCCTCCGTCCATGCCCATCCTTCCTTCCCGCCTCCCTTCTTGCAAGTTTTGATGCTGGTTTCTACGTATTTTGTCCAGCCAGGCCGACAGCGCATTCCTTTGGGGAAGCTTCTGGGCCAAGATGCCCGCTGCCCAGGGCAGAGGCGCAGACTAGGGGGGTAGCTTCGAGAAGTCCTCAACGGGCTCGTGGCAAGGCTTTTGAGGGCATGATCCTGGAGGGGCTGTGCACCATTATTGCGGTTTTGTACTTGTCGGGGCATCCTCGGGGGAATTTCGTGGCGTTCGGAAATCTTCTCCCACGTGCGCCTGGCACCATCTCTGTTGTATGGCTCACCCTGGCCACAAGTAGGATTTGTCCACTTGGTTTGGGAGTGTGGACCGTGTGGGCTGACAGGAGTGAGTGCGATGCCATCACACCAGATATTTGGCCTAGCTCGAAACAACAACAGCTTTGCTACATCCTGTTTACGTGGGGGACTCAAGCGAATGCACTGTTGCGTTCACCTTGTTCTGTGAATGTCTGTGGTGCCAGGCGGCGGTTCGTAATGCCGTGCAGACATCGTCACATCAGTATCACCCCCACATGTCAGTACGGCCCCTTTGGCGCTGTCGCGTGCAATCACCGCGTTTGCCAGGAGTACTCCGCAGATGAAGCTCAGAGCAGCAGCAACCGATGCGTCGGAATGTGTAGTCATCAGCTGCAACATTGGACCTGCAGTCGGCAGCAATTGCAGGGAGCAGCCTTGCGATCAAGCGGGCAAGATTCCTCCTCTTCCTCCTCCTCCTCCTGACTGTGTTGACGTCTACCTTGCCGGCTACTATAGAGCATTGCTGCTGTAGGGCTTGCCTGCTGGCGGCAGGGGCTCGTCGATGTGAACGGTTCTAGCTCCCATGAGGGGAAGCGGATTTGATGCTCAGTCGAATTCCAACGGCCGTCCATCGACCAGCTTCGCGACCTCTGCCTTCTCAGTCGGCTCGTGGTGCGAATGGCACGCACGCCCGCAAACAGGCATGGCATCGAATGATATTGATGTTTTCGCGGAGGGAGAGACAGCCATGCGGTCCAGGCGGCCCTCTGGCCATCGTGCGTGCCACGGTAGACCCTTCGAGCCGCCCGCGCCGCCGCCTCCCGCGTGGAGGGCCTGCGGCGAGCACGCGCCACCTGCCATTCCAGAGCCCGCGAGCTGCAGAGTGTCGGCGGGCCGCTGCTCCTGTACGCTCCCCCCCCAGGGCCCAAGGGCCCCAGGGCCCCAGGGCCCATTCCGATTCGACCGATCCGATTCGATTCCGAGTTCGCCCAGCTCGATCCGATTCGGCTGCGATTCCCTGGCGATTCGGTGTAGCCCGATGCCTGCGCAGCGTAGCGTGCTTGGTGGGCGCAGCCGACCCGATTCGATGTCGATTCCGTGCCAGGGCGGCCCGATCCGACGCACACCTCGATCCGATCCGATCTCCCGATTCGATGCTGGCTGACCCTGCTCCCCGCCCCGCCTCCCCTTGGGCGGCCCCTCCCGCATGTCCGGGCAGTGCCAAGGGGGGGGATCACCACGAGCGGGGTCGCCACCTCCTCGAGAAGGACGATCCCCTGAGACCCCCAAGGCCTCACAGAGCCTCCCTGAGACGCTCAGGTTCGTCCGACGTCTCCTCGGCCATTGATCCTCGAGCCCCGATCCCCATGAGGAGGAGGAGGAGGAGGAGGAGGAGGAGGAGGAGGAGGAGGAGGAGGAGGAGGAGGAGGAGGAGGAGGAGGAGGAGGAGGAGGAGGAGGAGGGTGAAGGAGGAGGAGGAGGAGGAGGAGGAGGAGGAGGAGGAGGAGGAGGAGGAGGAGGAGGAGGAGGATGAGGAGGACCCCCCCTGGCGCTGCCTGGCGTGTCCCCCCCGCAGCGTGCCCTTCACGCGGTCCACCAGCCGCTCGGTCGAGGCGGCTGTTCGAGCCTCCGCGCGGCGCGTGCAAGGCCGATGGAGCTGTCGCCGCCGGCTGGCTGGAGCGGCTCTCTCCGAGCTGCGGGCTCGACGTCTCCTCCTCTTGCTCCTCCTTCTCCTCCTCCTCCTCCTCCTTCTCCTCCTCCTCCTCCTCCTCCTCCCCCCCCTCCTTCCTCCTCCTGTTCCTCCTCCTCTCCTCCCCTCCTCCTCCTCCTCCTCCTCCTCCTCCTCTTCCTTCTCCTCCTCCTCCTGCCCGTTGGTCACGCGCGCTCCCGGTGCCTCCCACCTCCCAGGTGACCTTCGAGGGTGAATGGGCCAGGGTGAGCTCCCCCCTTCCAGGGGACCTCCGAGGGTGAAGGGACGAGGGTGAGCAAAAGCAAGTTCCCGCCTTCCTTCCACTGCCAGAAATAGTTCAGTTCGTTGTTTTTTTAGGGGGTGGGGGAGCACCCTGTCTTGTGCCTCCTGCACTTGTGCTTGACACCCGGTCCCCAGTGCCTAAGGCCGCCCGTGCCCCCGCCGATTCTCGGCGGACGGGCCTCCTCCCTCTTCCCTGCTCCGCTGCCGCTCTCTTCTTTTCCAGTCGTCTCCGTGCCCCGCGCACGGCGCGCCCCGCCGGTACCGATCCCCGCGCCTGCGTTTTCCAGCGGTGCTGAAAACAAGTTTTTTTGGTCGCCCAGGGGTTTCTTCGACCTCGAGGGCTCTTCCGCCCTCAGACCTGTGGCCTCGGCGTCCCTCCGCCACGGGAGACGCGTGGGTCGCAGGCGGCCCACCACGCGTCCCCCTGCATTGGGGCCCCGTGCGCGGCCCTCAGGCAGCCCTCACGCAGCCTTCGCGCGGCCCTCACGCGGCCGTCGTGCGGCCCCCTCCACGTAGCCTTCGCGCGCCTTCCCCCTGGGTGGCCTCCACGTGTCCAACGGAGAAGGGCATGTTAAATTTGGTGCCGTCTGGGAGTCTGAGGTGGCCCAGCAGCCCAGCACTAGTTCTGGCCAGCAGGAAGTGCGGGCAGGTTCGAGGTTCTGGGTTCGGGAAGTTTGTTTCTTTTTTGTATGTTTTTTCTTTTCTTTTTTGTTTCCTCCTTTTTCGGCCTAGGGGGGCCGTTTCGGTCCCCGGGACCGTGAAAAACGGATCTGGGGCGAACAACTGCACCACAAGGACCCCTGGGGGGGGGATTTTGAGCGGATTTAGCTTCATCCTTCCCTCCTGACAGGTTCTCCGGGGTCCCAACGAGTTCAGACCCCCCAGCCGCCTCCATGTTGAACGTATGTGTTCTATTCTTTCCTCTTCTAGCGTTGCCTCCTGCGCTGGAGCCCTGCACACGGCCTTCAGTCGGCCGTCGCGCGGCCCCCTTCACGTAGCCTTCGCGCGCCTCCCCCCCCAGGCGGCTTTCACGAGCCGAGGACATCAGAACAGAGGCATCATCTTTCGGAGGTCCGCACGGGTTTCTTGGATCGGCGCTGGACCCCCCTGGCGGTGCCAGCGCCACGGTCATGGCGCCAACATCGCAGAGCGGATTTCGCTTGGGCCCGGATTGCCCTGGAGAAATTCGCTCAGGATTTCGAAGTGGATTTCGTGCGGTTTTTTTTGCCCAGGAATGAAGACCACAAAACATCCACGTGAAACTCATTTCGTTTTTCACTCGCCGTTTCGGGGCTTCGCACTGGCAGAAATCCACGCAAAAATTCGCTGCAGCACGTCTGCAAGGTCGGCGCCAGCGCCACGGAGGGGCGCCAGCGCCGATCCAAGGCGTCCGCGCCGCGCCTGTGCCTGCGCAGTTTGTAATCGTTTTTTATGCATTGTTCTGCTGTTCGGCGCGGGCCTTCAACCCCCCCCCCTCCCCTCCCCCGCATGGAGAGTAGACCTTGGCCGTCTTTTGGCGCCTGTTCCGAGCGGGTGCGGTCTCTCCCCCAGAGGCAGCACTCTTGCAAACGGTCGCACTAAGCAGAGGTTCGGGCCCCCCCCCCCTCCCCCCCTCCTTCCGCCCAATGTCGAACCGCCGAATACGGTGGGGGCGTTCGTTGAGAAATGTGCCGGGGAGGCTGCAGACCCTGGGGGGCCTCCTTATCTGAGGAGGGCGGCGATGATATCCATGGCCGATCCACGAGTGCAGTTGCCCCGGCTCCCAGACCCTGGATTTCTGATCCAAGGGTTCCTTATTATCCAATGCCTTCGCCCTAAGAAAACGTTCACTTTCTTCGTAGTCCAATGCGGCCACCTGCGCCGGGGCTCTGCGTGCGGCGGGCCTCGCCCCGGGCGCGGCGGCGGCGGCCGCGCGGCCAGGGCAAAGACGACAGGGACAAGGACGAGAAGGGCAAAGACGGCAAGGGAAGGGGCGAGAAGGGCAAGGACGACAAGGGCAAGGGCGAGAGGAAGAAGGACAAGGGCAAGGGCAGCGACGAGAAGGGAGACAAGGGCAAGGGCAAAGACGGCAAGGACAAAGACAAGGACAAAGACAAAGACAAAGACAAGGACAAAGATAAAGACAAGGACAAGGACAAGGGCAAGGGCAAGGACAAAAACGGAAAGGCTAGCAGCGCCCAGCGCCGAGGGACAGGGAGGATCATGGCCTTATGTGTTTCTGTTGTTCTGTTGTGCCTTGGTGGCGTGACCCATTGACACGAGGATTAGATTACAGCTTGTACGCCCACAGGGAATCTGAATGTAACCGGTTCGAAAGCATGGTTCGATTTCAGCGCCAAGCCTATCCCATTGAACCTCACGTGCTGTCTGTTCGAGTTGTTGCTTCAACAATGGCGTCGTGCCATTTTCAGAGGAGTGAGAGTGCACGTGTGTGTATGTGTGTATGAACATGTGTGCATGTATGCACGTATGTATGCATGTGTTCATGTATGTAGGTAGGTAGGTAGACAGGTAGGTGGGTAGGTAGGTGGGTAGGTATGTATTCATGACTGCGTGCATGCCATGCATGTATGCATGTCTGTCTGTCTGTCTGTATGCATGCATGCATGCACGCATGTTTGTATGCATGCATGCATGTGTGTATGTGTATTCATACAGGTGTTTACATCTGCATGCATGCACGTGTATGTATGTATGTATGTATGTATGTATGTATGTATGTATATAAGCATACACATATCCATATGTCTGCATAGGTGTGTGCATGTATGTATATGTATGTATCTAGGTATATACGTATGTATGTATATGTGTATGTGTGTAGGTCTGCAGGAATGCATGCGTGTACGTGTTGTGTATGCAAGTATGTGTGTATGTATGCATGTATGTGCATGTAGGTCTGTACGTATGTATTTACGTATGGTTGTATGTATATGCGTTCGTATGCACCTATTCATGCAAGCATGTACGTATGCACATATATACGTGTATGCATGTATGCATGTATGTATGTATACGTGTGTATGTATGTAATCATGCATGTATTCATGCATACATGCATACATGTATGCATGCATGCCTGGTTGTATGTATGTATGTATGTGTGCACGCATGTATGTATGCATGTATATATGTATGCAGGTGCGTGTACGTATGCATGAATGCATGTGTGTATTCAGGTATGTATGTATGCATGTATGTAATGTACGTGGGAAGGTGTGCATGTATGCACAGTTGTACGTATTCACGTATGTATGTATGTGTGTGCATGCATATATGCATGTATGCATTTGTGTGCATGTATGTAGGTATGTTCATAGGTATGCATGCGTGCACGGGTTTGCGTTTGTAAGTATGTGTATATGTATGTATGTATGTGTATGTATGTATGTATGTTTTTTCGTATGATTGTAGGCATGTATGTATGTTTGTATGTATGTGTATATGAATGGTCTATGTATGTATGATTGTATGTCTGTATGTAGGATTGTATGTTGTATCGTAGGTATGATTGTTTATGTATGTATATATGTATGTATGCATGTATATATGTATGTGTACATATGCTTGTATGATTTTGCGTTCGTATGCACCTATCCATGCATGCATGCACGCATGCACATATACACATGTATGCATGTATGCATGTATGTATACGTGTGTGTGTGTATGTAATCATGCATGTATGCATGCATGTATGTATACATGTGTGCATGTATGCATGCATGCTTGTATGTATGTATGTATGCATGCATGTATGTATGCATGTAAGTATGTATGCAGGGGCGTGTATGTACGCATGAATGCATGTACGTATGCATATTCATCAGTTGCACGATTGTAGATTCGGAGTACAGTTTCTGACCCGTGGTGACGCCTCGTGTCTCCACCGCCTGTGGGGAGGTTGTGAATGTCTTGATGCGTTCCCTCTCCTCCCCTGGCCTCCTCCTTAATCGTATTGGCTCACAGTGATTTGGGGTCCCCTGTCGGCGACAGCTGAATGGGAGGGGACCCCGCTGCCGCCCTCCACTTCTTCTGGGCCGTGGCCCGCGATCTTTCGGGACTCGGGCAGCGGTGCCCCGACGTCTCGTTGAGCTGCCCGGAGCAGCACTGTCCTGCCTGTCCGGGGGTCACGTGCCTGGACAACAGCGCCTGCTACCAGCTGGTGGGCGAGTTCGCTGCGGCTGCGCGTAGCGGACGGCCATCGCCGGAGTGTCCGGCGGCGCAGGTCTGCGAGGCCTGCGAGAGCTGCCTGGACGCGTGCCCCGCGTTCCCGTGGCTGCTGATCCTGCTCCTCTGCTGCCTGGCGGCGGGCTGTGGCGGGGGAGGCTGCCTACTCGGGCGGCTGGGCGGGCGACGCAGCAGGCTGGTCCCTTCGGCGTCCGAGGCAGAGCCTTTCGTGGACAGGCCCTTCGCGACGACGCCCTCCACCCTCCGGCTGAGGAATGGCGCATAGGGCCCTCGACATCGTCGAGAAGCAAGTGCTCATCGATTTCTTTGACGACGAGAACGGGCTGTTCTGGCACGCCCGGATCCTCTTGATCCCAGGAGGTCAGGGGAGATGGATAGTGTGCTCGCCGACATTGGCTGTGCAGGTCGCGGATCTCTCGACGCATCGGATCCGCATCCTTCGGCGGGGAGAGCCGATCGACCCGGTGTACCTTCGCGAGGCGTTCGTCTTCGACGAAGAGCTGGACGAGGGAGAGCTGGCTCGGATCCGGGCCGAGGCGTACGAGCTTGCCGAGGTGGCGGGCTTCGACTTGACGGGCTTCAGACCGGCCGCAGGTCCAGCGGCCGCGGCGGAGAACGCCACGTGGCGGGTCGCGGACACAGCCCATCGTGCCTTTGGAGAGATCGTTCCACTGGACGCTCTCCGAGACCAGGAGGGCTGCACGCTGGGCGACAAAGTGGGCTGGGTGACGATCGACGACGCGGGGGTTTTGATCGAGCAGGTCGTGGACGACAGGCTGGAAGCATGGCTTTCGGCCAAGCGGTGTGGGCCGGGGCGCGATCCCCGGCTGCTCGGAGATGTTCGGGACCATCGAGGGCTTCGGTATCTCCACCCGGACGAGGCGACGAAGAAGCAGAACAAGACGAAGATGCCCTACGAGCCCTTCGAGGGGCCAGAGGCCGCCGAGGAGTTCATGGTGAACATGTTGCGGGTCGGCTTCAACTTCGTGACGCACAATCTGGACTGGGAGGCCAAGAGCGGCGTGTCGTCGAAGTCAGGGCTGGCCCGCGAGCACCGGCATCTCAGCAGCGCGCTCTTCGTCGCGCAGTCGGTGGACCAGTACGATCTCTCGAACAGCCTCTCGAACGAGATGCACATCAGAAGGTTGATTCAGATCGAGGCTGCGGTTCGGAGGAACCCGAAGTCGCCCGACTTCGAGGGGCTGGAGGTCATGATGTCACACCCAATCGGCACGGGCGGGGAGGTGACCACGAGGAACTTCACCAAGTGGGTCGCAGAGCGGCAGAAGGACGAAGGCTTCCTCCTCAAGCAGCAAAGGCTGTGGCGGGAGGAGAGGGCGGCAGACGACAAGCGCCAGGCTGGCAAGAAGGACCAGCCGGGCGCGGGGGCCAAGTAGCCCTTGCATCGAGGGGCGCCGTCGCGCTCAGCGCTGGGTCCCCAGGCGCTGAGCTCGACGCGGCGGTGCCGCTATGCCTGGGGAAGAGAAGGGAGCCCGACGCCATGGAGAGCCCTTCCCAGTTTTGGTACCTGAACAAGTTCGGCCTGAACTACGCGGTGTGCCCCGGTATCTTCGGCAAAGACTTCGGAGGCGGGCTAGCCGTGAGCGGCGGATCCACTCGGTGCTGGGGGCGCTCAACGCTCTGGAGGCCGGGCCGTCGCGCCCCTTTCGCTCAGCTGGGCGGGGGCGAAATCCAACGGGAGAGCGCCCCCTCGGGCCGAGCAGTTTATCGGTCTTCGAGCGGGTGGCGCGTCGAGTTGGGGCCGCCGGGGGACGTCCGGCCGACCTCAGCGAGCAGGGAGCCCTCAAGGAGCTCCTGCGCACCAAGGACCTGTACGGCCTCGAGCCCAGCAACCTGGGATCGTACGCGTACGAGCGGGTCAAGATTCTCGAGTGTGGCATCACGGCCCGCGACGTCCTGGACCTGGTGCCGCCTGACCAGCGTGACATGCTGGCCCACCCGGAGAAGCACATCCTCCGCGACAGCTCCGACCTCGAGCGCGCGAACGAGCAGGAGATGCCGTTCTCGCCCTTCTGGGACCCGAAGCTGCGCTTCTCCAGGAAGGAGCGCTACCGGCTGCTCGCGAGGCTCAAGGAGCTTGGGCTGCTGGGCTTTCGGCGGAGCATCGGAGCGAGGATGGGGATCTTCTTCGTCTCGAAGAAGGACGGGACCCTGCGCCTCATCGTCGACGCGAGGGAGGCCAACCGTATGTGTCGCCGCCCGCCGCACACGTGGCTCGGGACCGTGGCGGCGCTCGGGTCCCTCGACCTTTCAGACAGTTCGGTCGGCTCGGACGAGCCGGTCAACGTCAACGCAGCCTCGGTCGACCTGTACAATGGCTTCTACCAGTTTCGCAACCGCAAGCTGGGCTCGCTGTTCGGGATCGACTTCGCCGAGCGCGCTGACGTCTGGGGGGTCAGTGAGATCTTCGACGAGGAGCGGGAGTGTTTCGTGCCGGTGGGACCGGACGAGATGCTCTTCCCGGTCTTCGAGGGACTGCCCATGGGGTGGTCCTGGGCGCTCCACTTCTGCCACGCCATCACCTCCGAGGCGGGCAGGACGGCGACGAGCCTGCTGCAGGATCGGCACGCGCCAGAGGCGCCGCGGCCCGAGCTGGCCTACCGGTTGCCGTACGTCGACAATGCCAACGTCATCGGGCTCAGCCGAGCCGCCACGCAGCGCGCCCTGGACGCCGTCAAGGGCGACCTCGACAAGAGCGGGCTGCACTACCACGAGGAGAACTCTCCCGCCGAGACGCTCGAGCTGCTGGGGGTGGAGTTTGATGGCCGGCGTCGTCTGCTGCGTCCTAAGCCTCGGCGCGTTTGGCGGCTCCACTTGGCGTTGCGCGCCGTGCTGCGCCGAGGCCGCTGCAGCGGGCTCGTCCTGCAGGTTCTGGTCGGCCACATCGTGCACCACTGCCAGCTGCTGCGCTTTGGGCTCTCGGCGCTCGACATGGTCTGGTCCTTCATGTCCGAGAGCGGCAGCAAGGAGGTTCGCCTGTGGGCGTCCGTCCGGTGGGAGCTGGAAGTGTCCTCCTGGCTCGTCTTCCTGGCCGAGGCCCGTCTCAGCGCAGAGCCTGCCAGCGTCGCCTTTTGCGGCGACTCCTCTGCCGTGGGCTACGCGCTGCACGTCACCTCCGTCTCGGGACCCGAGTTTCGGGCCGTGGCACGCTACCGAGAGCGGTGGCGCTTCGACGCGGTCGAGCGGAGCGACGATGGCTGGGGGGCCGTGGGCGGCTGGTCGGCCGAGTGGCGAGCCTCGCCAGACCCGGCAGGGTCTCTCGGTGGCGGCCCTCGCGACCTCGGCGGCGGACCTGCGGTTCGCTGCCGGCCGTGGCGCGACATCGAGACCGTGGAGCGGCCGGCCGAGGAGGTGGGGATCCCGCCGCTGCCAGACGCGCTGCTCGCGAGCAAGCGCTGGGCGATGGTCATCAAGGGCGCGTGGCAGCACGACGGGGTCATCCATGAGAAGGAGGGCCGCGTGCTGCTCATGGGCCTGGTGCGGGCCTCGAGGTGCGTCGGCCTTCACGGGAGGAGAGTTCTCTCGATCGGGGACAACCTTTCGAGCCTCTGCAGCTTCGAGAAGGGGCGCTCGGGCAGCTTTGCCCTTCGGCGCCTGTGCCAGCGCGCCGGGGCCCTCTCCATCGGCTGCGAGCTCGACTGGTCCCTTCGCTACGTGGAGAGCAAGAGGAACCCAACCGACTTCGACTCGAGGGCGGCCGACCGAGGCGAGCTGGCTGCCGGGACCTCCGTCGCTGGCCGGCATGGCCGGGCGCTGCTGCAGCGATGCTCGCGGGCCCCCGACTCGCCCCCAGCCCGAGCCAGCGCTCGGGTCCGCCGACCGCCGCCTTCGCGGTCGGGGCTGGGGCGAATGGGGCCTCGGCAGACGCCCGCAGCCCCCCCGACCCCTACGAGGGTTCGGACTCCGCCCGAGCGGCGGTCACCTCTTGGGCGCATGGGGCCTCGCGCGCATTTTGCCGCTCCATGCAGCCCAGGCGCGGCGCGGCCCCGCCGACGCACCCGCCAGCGGGGCCCGCGAGCACGGACTGAGCAGCACAGAAAGAGCAACAGCCCTGTCGTCAAGACGTCAGCTCAGCATCAGTTCGTCCTGGAGATCTTCGCCGGCTGCGCCGCCTTCTCCGCCGCCTGTCAGGAGGCCGACCTCAACATCGGGTGCCCCATCGAGATCTCGAGGGGCCCCCACATGGACGTCTCGAGGCAAAGGACCCAGAGGCACATCAAGGGCTTGGTCAAGCAGGGGCTCGTGTGGTACCTCCACTTGGGGACTCCGCGCACTACTTGGTCGAGGGCCCGCACGACGGGCTCAAGTTCAGCCGCTCTTGGGGGCCTCCAGTTGGCCAAGTTCTCGTTGGGGCTCATCAAACTCTGCAAGCAGTATGGCGTCCTCTACTCACTCGAGAACCCGCGTTCCTCGAGGCTCTTCTCCTGGAAGCCCCTTAGGAAGGAGCTGCAGAGGCAGAGCGCGATCTTTGTCCGATACGATAACTGTGCATACGGTGCGGGGTATCTCAAGCCGACCCTCCTGGCCACCAACATGCAGGCCCTTCAGGGGCTACATCGTCTATGCCCAGGAAGCCATGATCATGAGATTCTTGAAGGGAAAGTCCTTCTGCCTCCAGGGCCCGGCGAGGCTCGGGGGCGGTGGGCCTGGAAGACGATTCTGGCAGGGCGCTACCCTCCTCGACTTTGCCGCTCCTGGGCAGCCATCTTGGCCCGGGCGGCTCCAGACACGGCCCGCGGGGCCGATGCCACTTCGCTGGAGCGATGGGAAGCTGACTTGGCGCGAGCCGGAGGCTGCCCGATCCCGACCGACGTCTTCAGGCTCCACTGCCCCAGGTGCTACCAGAGCCCGTGGAAGGACGCCGTCAAGCCTTGGGGCCAGCGCGTGGTCTGGGTCGGCCCTCGGCGCGGAGCTACCAGATCGAGATCGACGACGTGCTGCTAAGGCGGCCTCCCGACGGGCCGCCGCGGGACACGACCCCGGCGACAGGTTTCTGGAGCGCAAGACCGTCGGGAAGGGGACGCTCGTCAACTACGAGTCGTGTTCCTCGGACTTCGTCCACTGGGCCAGCCAGCAGGCCCCGCCCCGGGCGCTGGCTCCTCTCGAGCAGCTAGACGCCAGCCTCTCCGCGTACTTTGACTTTCTCTTTTTCGACGGCTGTGAGCCGTGGGCTGGTCGGCACACCCTGTTCGGCTACGCCCACCTGCACGGCATCGTTGCGCCCTCGCGCAACCTGCCACATGCTGTGAAAGCTCTGGCGGGCTGGGTGAAAGCCTGCCCAGAGCTCAGCCGCGACCCGTGCCCTTGGGAGGTGTTCGCCGCGATCGCCGACCACTGGCTCGAGCTGGGCACGACCGAGTCCATCCTTGCCGCCGCCTGCGGCGCCTTGCAGTTCGACACCTACCTCCGTCCAGCGGCTGCGGTCAGCCTGTCCCTCGAGCACGTGGTGTTGCCCTCAGGCAGGGCTGGCGACCGCTATGACAAGGTGGCGCTGATCGTGGCCCCTTCGAGTGGCACAGCACCTCGGCCCAACAAGAATCAGCAGTTTGACGACACCGTGATGGTCGGGTCTATCGACCCATCTCGTGGTTGGCTTCGGCAGCTTGTTCGACAGCTCGTTGCCAGAGCCAGAGCGCGTCGAGCCCAGCGCCTGTTCAACGAGCTCCCGCTGTCCACCTACGAGCGCCTGTTCCGCGAGGCCAGCCACCGACTAGGGCTGGCAGCGCTGAAAGTGTCGCCGCACACGCTGCGGCACGGCGGCCCTTCTCTCGACTACTTGAACGGCCTCGCCACGCTTCCTGTGCTGAAAAAGCGCGGGGGCTGGCTCAGCGACCGCTCCGTGGCGAGGTACGGCAAAGAGGGTCGACTCCTGAGGCAGATCAGCCGCCTCTCGCCCGCACAGCAGCAGCAGTTCAAGCGTGCCGCCAATCGCCTCGAACAGAAGCTGCTTCGCGCCACAG